CTACAGTAGCAATAGCAAAAGTACTTAGACTTATATACCACTTCATAGTGCTTTACAGCCCTCTCTAAGCGGTTTACAGAGTCAGCATATAGCCCCAACAATCTGAGTCCTCATTTTACGGATCTCGGAAGGATGGAAGGCTGAGCCAATGACATAGTATATTGAGATTATCATTTGAACAAGGTAGCTTGATTTACAAAACTGCCATTCTGCCAATATTTTATCAACTATTGTTGGAATGAAAATATAACTGAATATTATTTCTCATGGGCTAAGATGGAAACTTATTATGTATTTCCTTTGCAATCACATACGTGCTGGGAACAGCATCTGGTGGAAAAGATGTTTTATTTCCAGGGGTAAGAGCTATAATAAATCCTTGGGCCACATTGGCCCATATTGTAAATTAAGTTTTGATAATGAGGCTCATCAATATCTAACCCTTTGGAAAAATTCTACTTTGAAAATTGGTGATAGTCATCTTCACTTAAGGATGGGGATTCAGGAATCGATCGAACATGTGATGGCACTGAATGAGTGATACTTATAATCAGTCCTCAAAGGTCCAGCCATTGCAGCATTCCACTTCAGCAGCTTCTTCCAAGCAAAGTCAGTGGGAAAGCCAGCAGGAGATTGCAAATGATGACGTGATGTGACGTGACGTGACATGAGAAAAAAAGCCTAGAAACTCGTGGATTGGGATTTCACTGAACTAGGGCTGCATAAAAATCTTGGTTTTCGTAGGAAGAACCTGGCTAAAGAGAAATATATATATATATATATATATATATATATATATATATATATATATACATACACATTTCATGTTTTCATTAAAATAAATGTTTAAAGCAGTTTATATTTAAGCAATTTTATCATGTATTTTAACACATAAACACACAAACATAAAATTGCAATAGGAAAACCAGCAATAACAGATATTATGGTATCTGGTTAAAAAATCTGAGAGTGGTAATATAATTTTCAATTTATTGTTGACACATAATTTACAGTATAAGTTGCATAACGTCCATGAATTATGCGGAGTTTTAGATCCTGAGTTTTAAAATACAGTGGAAAGATTGTTAGGTAGTTTCAAATCGTTTAAATAGTTCCTGATAAAAGTCCTGTTCGAGTAGAATTTTGATCTCTTGAAGCCAGGAATATTAAGGATAGTTAAAAATGATGTTGGTAAAGCTCTTTCTGTCTGTGTGTCCTAGATACCAACTATTGTATTGCAATAGTGATATAAAGTAAATCTAGTCTTAAGAACAAAACGTATTCCTCAAATATAAAACTGTATCAGAAATTAACTTCTGAGATTTATTTTTGATATGTGTATGTATTTTTTTCTGAAGCGTGGAAAACTATTCAGTGGATTTATTCCAGGAAAATACTTACATTTCACATTGATAATCATTCAGTTAATTAGATCTGAAAGATATTAATGTATGCATGGGCAATAAATTAAGATTATAAACCAGTTTTTCTGAGCTTTATGACTTCCTTCATGAAATGAATCACCAGCATCTTTGTAATTCTTGGTTAGATATTATATTTGATCAGATGTTTTTTTGTATTACTGTGTTGGATTTATTTATCAGATGTTTATTTTATTACTGTGTTGGATTAAGCAATCAAACTTGTAACAATATTTAGTAGAGTCAAATGTTTTCAATTTTTTTAATTCTTACTCTATATATCTAAAAGTCACTTAGAAAATTCTTGTCAAGTTCTCTATTTTCCCCCAGGATCAACTAGAAATAGCTACCCAGTTTTTTTAACTTGGAAAAAGAATTTAATGTTAACTTTTCAAAACAGATGGTAAAACCACTGAGCTTCCATTCCGCAATAATTGATTATATTCACGCTATTGGTTAAATTAAAAAATGCTACAGAACATAATGACCATAGCTTTAGTTACATAAGGACCTGCAGAATGGAATGCTTGAGTTCATATGATAATCCCCCCTCCCGCCCCGAATTTTCCTTTAAAAAAATTGTAAAAGATTACATTTGTTTAAAAAAGAAAAATGTTTTGAACACTTTTTCTTAAGGGGACAAATGAAAATCTAGTTTGTTTTTACACAAATGATGGGGAATAAAGCCATCTATGTTTCCTCCTCCCCCCCCCCCCCCGTCAAATCTGTAATTCCAATACCATTCTAATTGTTGGTGTATCTAGTGACCTGACATTTTTCTCAGAATGCACTTCCTTAAATTTTATGGCATTGCTTCCTTGGAAACATAAATACGATCCCCAACATTGGACAATACATCCTACCATTTGAAAAGTGTATTCTTAATGTCTTAATATGGATGAGTTCTCTGTTTATTCTTCTGGCAAAAGATTGTAGATAAGATCTAGCTAGAGAACCAGGCAGTGATTGTTGCTAGACTTGCTTTTACTATCTTTATCGCATACATCACAAACATGGTTTTTTAAACACAGGATCTTATTGTTATAGTTGTGATGTCCATGGTGAGTTACTTAACAATGTCAACAGGAAGTGCTGGTACTGTAGATACTGCAATCAAATACTATGTAACACTATTTTAAGGATTTTTCCTGATTTCAAATTGAACTTAATTCGTAAATTTATCTTCAGTTTAAAATAGAATAGAATAACAGAATTGGAAGGAACCTTAGAGGTCTTCTAGTCCAACCTCCTATCCAGGCAGAAAACCCTACACCACTTCAGACAAATGGTTATCCGAGATCTTCTTAAAGCTTAAGCATGTTCAAATGGATAAACATGGATCATGTTTATCCATTTAGGCACCTAAGCTGTTTTCTTATTTGATGGACTCAATGACAAATAAAACTTGTAGCAGTCTTCTAACAAAAAAACATGAATATTTTCAGAGTGGACATTTTTGGGATATTTCAGACATAGACTAAATAACAGGAATTCCCAAAAATCCCACATCAATGGCCTCATGTTTTTTAAAATGGTATCTCTAGATTTGAGATTAAGATTAATTCTTCAAAAATTGTTTTTAGGATGGATTAGATTCCCTAAAAATGTATTCGAAAGACTAGACACCAGAATTCCTATGTTGGAGGTGTAATAAATTGAGGGCTCACTGACCTGTATTATATGGACATGTGATTATTTAGCACCTTTTTTGAGATAAAGTATTAATGTATATTAATAGATTTATGAGAACATGTTTGAATGTTAAAGATGCTAATGTAATAGGGGAGTATATACCAAAACTTTGAAATGTGTCTATTATTTATTTATTTATTTATTTATTTATTTATTTATTTATTTATTTATTTATTATATTTCTATACCGCCTTTCTCCCATAGGACTCAAGGCGGTGTACAGTCAAGAAAAATATAGACACACAAACATCATAAAATTGCTAATTAAAATTATTACTTAGTTTGGACAATTAAATAAAACCCAGAATTAGGTAACATTTAAAAAATCATTCACATGTTCGTATGTTTAGCCCTGCCTGTTGGAATATGAGGGTCTTGAATATCACGGCGGAAAGCACGGAGATCAGGGATATTCCGTATCTCCGGGGGCAGTTCATTCCAAAGGGTTGGAGCCCCCACAGAGAAGGCCCTCTCCCTGGGAATCGCCAGTCGACATAATTTGACTGACGGTACCCTGAGTAGTCCCTCCCTGTGAGAACGAACTGGTCGGTGGGAGGCTATTGGTGGCAAAAGACGGTCTCGTAGGTACCCAGGTCCTAAGCCATGGAGCGCTTTAAAGGTGATAACTAACACCTTGAATCGCACCCGGAAGACCACCGGGAGCCAGTGCAGCTCGCGTAGGAGAGGTGTTACATGGGCGTAATGAGCTGTGCCCATAATCACCCGCGCGGCTACGTTCTGGACCAGCTGGAGCCTCCGGGTGCTTTTCAAGAGGAGCCCCATGTAGAGAGCATTACAGTAGTCCATACGGGAGGTAACTAGGGCATGAGTGACCGTGCGCAAGGAAAGTAGGAAAATTAAGAAATTGGAAAAGTGATATTATTCCAGATATCAAAACAATGTCTGTTGGAACAAACATCTGTTTTGAAAAAGGCAATACAGGTAGTCTTCGACTTACAACAGTTCATTTATTGACCATTCAGTTACAACGGCACTGAAAAAAGTGACTGACCTTTTTCACACTTATGACCGCTGCAGCATCCCCATGGACACACGATCAAAATTCAGATGCTTGGTAACTGGTTCATATTTATGACAGTTGCAGTCTCCTAGGATCATGTTATCCACTTTTGTGACCTTCTGACAAGCAAAGTCAATGGGTAAGCCAGATTCACTTAACTAAAATGCCGTGATTCACCTAACACCTGTTAGCAACAGAGATTTTGGGCTCAATTGTGGTTGCAAATGAAGGACTACTTATAGTTTCTATTAATCAAGAGCAGCAATATTTGTAACTATGGCAGAAATTCTGCAATATCTTACAGTGTATTATTTAATAGTAGTGAATTCGTTGGTAAACCAGGGACTATTTTCAAGTATAAAATATCCTTTCCCCCCCATCTTTATAGTTTGCACTTTCATTTCCCCCTCTCTAATTTTTTTCTTTAAAATTAATGCTTGTTTTATTTTAAATATATATTTTTTAAAAACCCTCCAGCGGCTTTGATGTGGTACCCTTCAGACGTACTGGATTTGAATGGCTATCCTCCGCATCCTGGGAACCTGACCCCCCCTCCCCCCGGAAAGGTGCAGGTCGTTCCCTGAACGGTGCTTTGGGAAACCCAAGTGTCAAGGAGAGGTCGCGGGCACGGTAAAAAACGAGAGCCACGAGGAGGGAGAGACACGCGTCCGTGCGCGCGACGGCTTAAGCTGGGGATTCCGCTCTTGCAACCGCCTTCCCAGGAGCTCGCGAGCGTCCTTCTTCAAGAGAGCGGCAGGAGCAGGTGCCCAGAGACAACAGAGCCAAGAGCGAAGTGAAGTGCGCCTGCGCCGACCGTACGGCCTCGCTTTTGGAATGGTGGGAGCTCCACATTCAGTAGAATCTGCCCGGCCGGGCTCGCGTGTGAGGGGGGGGGGTGGGGGAGGTTGACGTCGAGATCGTTATCTGCATCTGGGAACCACCCAGCCGGAGCCGGCGGATCCGGCCGCTCGCCTCCCGCTCCGCTTCTCTTGCGAGACGTGCAACCGAGCTGAGTGAGTAATTCGTAAATTCCTCATCAGCACCGAAGGCTTGCCCGCTGGCTGGCATACTTTGCATGACGATGATCCTTTTTTAAAAAAAAAAATATTATTATTGTTCTTCTTTGTAATTATGATTATATATATTTTTTTCCTGCCTTCTCCCGCCTCCTCCGTCCCTTTGTGGGTCCGCCTGAACTCCCAGCTCTGCCTTCCTAGGGGAAAAAAAAAAGCTTAAAGTTTTGGACTTCGGGCTGCCTCGGAGCGAGTCCAACCGACAAGGCAAGAGAACAAAGGGAAAACTGAGGCAGTTTCTGCCACTGACGGTCGTTACATGAGCGGTTTCTCCCCCCCCCCCCCGCCGCCCCCCTTCCCCGCGTCCCCGCTCGCGAGCCTTTAGATTTTAAAGAGGCTGCAGTTCAGGGCAGAGGAAATTACGGAACCGATGGGGAGGATGGCGGAGGCTTATGGAAATAGAGGTCATCTGGGGTGCTTTTTAAGGTTATGGCCGTGGGCTCCCTTCACTGCCAATGAAGTCCGTGGGGCTTACTTCAGAGTAAGCGGGTTTGGGATTGGTCGGGAAGTCTAAGCGCCCAGAGGATAAGATGTGTGCGCGCTGCGGGTGTATAAGCAGTTTCTCCTTATGGCAGAGACGTTTTTGTATGGGGAGCGGCGTTATTCCGGCTGCCTGCATGCAGATGGTAGAGGTCGGGTTAATTGATTTTCTTCGCTTTCACTGGGTTTCCCAAGACGGTTTTTTTTTATTTATTTATTTTAAATTCCAGTGCTAGACAATGTCTTTACACACAGCTCAGCAGATGCACACCAAGCGCTGGAATGTTGCTGTTTATTTAATAGGGCTATTGGATCTGGGCTATCTAAAAAAAACAAACAGATCCAAAACAAAAAAGGAAATGTGATGTTGTCTTCTTGTGATGGTCTGTCTGGCTTTTTGCAGCTCAGATTTATTTATTTTTTTAGGTGGGGATACAAATGCTCATTTTCTTCTCTTAGGCAATTTCTTCTGCTCTGCATCCCATTGTGCTGGAGGTGAATGTGCTCCAAGCATTTAAAATACACGCTTAAAATTGTATTTCTTTGTTGTGCATGCAGTTCAGAAGCTCTTTGTTTTCACAGTATTATTTTGTTCCCTGTTTTGGGGAGTTTCCTAAAACCCCAGCCTTTTGTATCTGGAACAAATTGTGACTTGTGTTCAGAGAATCTGTTGTACTAATATTTGCAATTGAATATTTATTCTGTCTTTTAATTTTAGCTGTTAAAAATAAAGCAATTCATATGTCAAGTTTTGCTCTGGAAGTAGTAGAAATGAATAAAAAGTACTTATTGCTTGATGATTGTGTGTGTTAGATGTTATAAAAAATTGGGGAAAATGAAAAAAAAAAACCCTTTACCTAATGTTGTCCTCAAATGTCTCCCTACTTTTAATGTGGCAGGACAGATTATACATGAATGTGTATAAATGACATGCTTTTCAGAATATTAAGATTGATCCAGACTTAAAGTGGGTTTAAACAATTAGGAGAGGGATTTTAATGGAGATCAGGGATTCCAGCCATTCTGTGTTTCTATTCTGAGGTGAGAGCCTGATTATAGTCTGTTCTTTTCTAGCCTCAGGGAGCAGCAGCTGGGAACTACTACTGTGAGAAGACAAAAGCAGCATGCTGACCTTCTGTGCATGATTTCTCTCCCCCTCCCTCTGCATTGATAGACATGCCATCTGAAGACTTTAACGCGGAAACAGGAATAGTACATCTTCAGAATCTACAGTCTTATTGCCAATGATGCAGGCAGTCAAGGACCCTCATCTAGAATGGCAGGGCATCATTAGGAGCCATGTGGGAATGAGTCTGCTGAGGGGGAGTGGTCCAGTTCACTTTGTTTAAAGGTCAGCTGCTGGCAGAAAAGGGCAGTGTTAAGAAGTATGGAACTACAATAAAATCTGCTGGACATGTGCTCTCATGTGTTCATGTAACGGTGTTGAATTGTAGGGTCTCTTTTTTTCCAGAGTGGCTTGGAGAGATCTGGAAAGCCATAGAGGATGATTGTTCTTGGGCTGAAAAAAGCATAAATTTGACCAAGGTCATGCATATAACAGAGAATTAGTAATTCAGCCTAAACCAAGCTTGCTCTCAGCATGCTTTTATCAGGAATAATAAAGCACCAGCATCCAAACTCTCTTGGAGAGGAGCAACTAGAAAAACAAGATAAGAATTCTCGGTCCAAAAGCTTGCCAGTTCTGAATGGGTCTGTTCCGCAGATTAATACCACACAAAGTGCTCTCATCGCAGCCAAAAAGAACTTCTTACAGAGTTTGCAGGGGGACTCTGATCAGAGGTGTGGCCTTGACCCTGATATATCAGCACATCACAGTAATGCTACTGCTACTTCTTCCAAGACAGTGTTGTCTTTTACACCCTCCAGCTTTTCGAGAATGGGGAATTTCACTGAAAGAAATAATTGCAACAACTCTCCTAGATTAAGTAATGGTGTGTCACCAGCTTCCACACTGCTAGTAATGCCTGGTAGAAAATATCTTGCTATAGTATTGACAGACTCTCGATTCTTTTTGATATGTATGTGTTTCCTGACTTTCATTCAGTCACTAATGGTCTCTGGTTACCTGAGTAGTGTTATCACGACCATTGAGAGAAGATATAGCCTGAAAAGCTCTGAATCTGGGCTATTGGTCAGCTGCTTTGATATTGGCAGTCTTTTAGTAGTGGTTTTCATCAGTTATTTTGGTGGGCAAGGGCGAAGGCCTCTGTGGCTTGCTGTTGGGGGGTTATTTATTGCTCTTGGGGCTGCCATATTTTCTTTACCTCATTTCATCTCTGCACCATATCAAATCCAGGAATTAAACTCCTCTGTTTCTAATGATGGCTTGTGTTTGACTGGAAATAATTCAATGAAAGGGCACCTGGAATCGCCAGGCTGTATGAAGAATTCACGTGGAAATGGCCACTCGCTCTATGTAGCTTTGTTTATTTGTGCCCAAATTCTCATTGGAATGGGCTCCACACCTATCTACACTCTAGGACCAACCTACTTGGATGACAATGTCAAGAAAGAAAACTCATCACTCTATCTAGGTAAGGTTGATATTTGTCCAGATTTTTGTGTGATTATTTTGAAAGGAGGCCAACTTCTACTTTAAAGCTTCCAAACTAATGCAGCAGCTTTAAATGTATTTGAATGTTTAGATAGGCAGAGTAGCTAATATTTGCCAGAATAAGGACTTCAATAGCTGTTACTTAATCTTCTAAAAACTTTGTTCCATTATCTTTAATATACTGTATTTTCTTCCATGTTGAAATATCTATGGAAACAATTGAAGTGATACTTATCTCTTTCATGAGGGAAATGGAAAAGGAAATTGTTTCCTTTCCAATGGTATATGATCTGCCTTCCTCTCTCTCTGTGTGTGTATCTCTCTCTCTCTCTCTCTTTCTTATATCACACATATACATATGTGTGTAATATAATATAATATATATATAATATTTTCATTAAAATGTTTAAAGCAGTTTATATTTAAGCAATTTTATCATGTATTTTAACACATAAACACACAAACAAAATTGCAATAGGAAAACCAGCAATAACAGATATTTTTAATTTATTGTTGACACATAATTTACAGTATAAGTTGCATAACGTCCATGAATTATGCGGAGTTTTAGATCCTGAGTTTTAAAATACAGTGGGAAGATCGTTAGGTAGTTTCAAATCGTTTAAATATTTCCTGATAAAAGTGCTGTTTGAGTAGAATTTTGATCTCTTGAAGCCAGGAATATTAAGGATAGTTAAAAATGATGTTGGTAAAGCTCTTTCTGTCTGTGTGTCCTAGATGCAAACTATTGTATTGCAATAGTGATATAAAGTAAATCTAGTCTTAAGAACAAAACGTATTCCTCAAATATAAAACTGTATCAGAAATTAACTTCTGAGATTTATTTTTGATATGTGTATGTATTTTTTTCTGAAGCATGGAAAACTATTCAGTGGATTTATTCAGGAAAATACACAATATTTCACATTGATAATCATTCAGTTAATTAGATCTGAAAGTATTAATGTATGCATGGGCAATAAATTAAGCATTGTAAACAAGTTTTTCTGAGCTTTATGACCTCCTTCATGAAATGCATCACCAGAATCTTGGTAATTCTTGGTTAGATATTATATTTGATCAGATGTTTTTTGTATTACTGTGTTGGAATTATTTATCAGATGTTTATTTCTGTGTTGGATTAAGCAATCAAAGTAGTAACAATATTTAGTAGAGTCAAATGTTTTCAAATTTTTTAGTTCTTACTCTATATATCTAAAAGTCACTTAGAAAATTCTTGTCAAGTTCTTTTTTTTTCCCCAGGATCAACTAGAAATAGCTACCCAGTTTTTTTAACTTGGAAAAAGAATTTAATGTTAACTTTTCAAAACAGATGGTAAAACCACTGAGCTTCCATTCCGCAATACTTGATTATATTCACGCTATTGGTTAAATTAAAAAATGCTACAGAACATAATGACCATAGCTTTAGTTACATAAGGACCTGCAGAATGGAATGCTTGAGTTCATATGATAATTCCCCCTCCCGCCCCGAACTTTCCTTTAAAAAAATTGTAAAAGGTTACATTCGTTTAAAAAAGAAAAATGTTTTGAACACTTTTTCTTAAGGGGACAAATGAAAATCTAGTTTGTTTTTACACAAATGATGGGGAACAAAGCCATCTATGTTTCCTCCTTTTTTCCCCCCTGGTCAAATCTGTAATTCCAATACCATTCTAATTGTTGGTGTATCTAGTGACCTGATATTTTTCTCAGAATGCACTTACTTAAATTTTATGGTATTGCTTCCTTGGAAACATAAATACGATCCCCAACATTGGACAATACATCCTACCATTTGAAAAGTGTATTCTTAATGTCAGCTCCCTATTTTCACATAATACTAGATATTATATTACCACTTCTTTGTTTCTATATTTGCATTCTGGGTTACTATATTCTCTAATGGATCTTTAAATCCTATTATTTTATAAAAGCAGATTTTATAGATTATATCAAAGCAGCAGTACCTACAACAAAAGCAGAAAGCTGTAGTGCAAAATCAATAATTTAGCATAAGTTTAGTTATTTTAATCGTTCAGCTATTCAATAAAATAATACAAGAATATAAATTTTAAATGTGTTTATTGTAAAAGAATTTCAGTGTTCAAGTCATTTAATAGAAGGAAAATACTAGTTCTAGATGGAAGTACTTGTTATTCTATAAAATAATTGAGTGGCTGACAACCAGTAAGTTAAATCTTTTATCTGGGCAAGATAGAAATAGTTTGAATTAACAGATGCAGGTGTTTATAAGAAGATGAATTTATATAGGTATGGATGAGTTCTCTGTTTATTCTTCTGGCAGAGAATTGTAGATAAGATCTAGCTAGAGAACCAGGCAGTGATTGTTGCTAGACTTGCTTTTACTATCTTTATCGCAAACATCACAAACATGGTTTTTTAAACACAGGATCTTATTGTTATGGTTGTGTATACATAATGTCCAGTTTAACACATTTGTCCGAATGTGCGAATTTTACTTGTCATCTAACAGATAATCCTATTCCATAATACAAACCTGAGAACAGAAAAAGTAAAACTGACATACACAGAGAAGTTGGCTGAGGTAGCTTGAGTGTCTTTGTATTATTGATAAGGCTTCAATTTCCTTTTCAAGCATAGTACCTGAACAGGACTGGTCTTTAGAGGAAGACTTGGTGAGACCCCTGTCTTTAAAAAGAAAAAAGATCACATTACAACATAGTAGATGCTCCAATATTATGGATTGCTAATTCCAATCTGAATATCATAAATTCATAGTAACATCTACTCATTCTGCTCTAGTTTTGTTTCAAGAACTTCTACACAATGTTTAAATTTTAAAAGAATCAAAGAACATTCCAAACAAGAAAATAGCAATGTTTGTGCTATGCTAAGTACTCACAACATCATTCTTTGGATGTTGAAGCAGGGCGTTGAGACTTGGGATAGCTGCTTCGGAAGCTTCGTCAGATTTTTTGCTTCTAATTATGCAAAGAAAGAAAAAAATAACTTCTGCTTGAACTGAAATACAGGCAGTCTTTGGCTTACAACCATCTGATTAATAACTCTTCAAAGTTAAGATGGCATTGAAAAGTGACTTACAACTGGTCCTCACTATGAGCATCACAGTGTCTCCACAAGTCATGAGCCCATGGCAAGTGGTATGTATTTATAATGGTTGCAGCATCCAAGGGTCATGTGCTAACCATTTGCAACCTTCCCAAGCAGCTTTCAACAAGCAAAGTCAATAGAGGATACAGGATTTGCTTAGCATCCATCTGATTTGCTTAATGACTATGGCAACAAATATTGTAAAAGAGGGCACTACTTGTTTAGTGACTACATTTCTTAACAACAGTAGTTCTAGTCCCAGTTATACTCATAGGTTGAAGACAACCTAAAATAGTCAAACATATATGTGCATATACGTGTAAGTGTGAAGATGGCCCAGGAGAACTTTTGAAGAAGCTTCTCAAAGTTGTCCATAGGATGCTGCTGCATCAATGCATCGATTCATCAGTGGAAAAGAGATTTATTCTTTTCAGCACATTCCATGAAATACTCTTTAAATTTTTGCACAGCCTTAAAAGCAATAATAAACAACAGCAATAATAAAATGGGTACAGATAACTAGGTAAAGCAACCATGGCAGTTTGTGAAAAATATTCTAGTAGCTAGTTTGGTGTGTTTAAGACTCCAAACTAAAACCTGGGAGTTGTGAGTCTTGGGCATGAAGCCAGCTGGATAACCTGGACCAGCCACTCTTAGGCCTAGGAAAAAGGCAATGGCAAACCACCATCACCAACACACACACACACTAAACTGGCAAGAAAACTGCAGGGAATAGTTCAGACAGTCATCAGAGTCAAAGGTGACTCAAAGGAACAAAGATAAATACAGGTAGTCTTCAATTTACAACTGTAATGGACCCTGCCCACCATAGTAATTAGTGATGTCGTAAAACAGATCAGTCACATTACTGACCTGATTTTATGACTTTTTTTGTGGTAGTCATTAAGTGAATCACCATGCTTATTAAGAAAAATCATGATTGGTAATTTAAGCAGGTGCTATGGGCGTAATTTTGCAGAGAACTGGAAGTGCTGGTTTTCAGCAAAGCTATCATAAAATGGGTTATATGAGTGCAGGATGCTGCAGATGGCCATAAATGTGGCCATGTGGCCTAGTGCCCAAAGTTTGGTCATGTGATGTTGAAACTGACCACCTGACCATTGGAACTTCAAATCTGGGTCGTAAGGTACATCTGTCATAATTTCAAACAGTTGCTAAATAACTGCTTGTAAATGGAGGACTACCTTTAGTCTATATTTTTAAAAACTGCTTAACATTTAAAGGATAAATCAAGGAGAGAGTTCCTGTTTCTGCAAACTTAGGAAGGAGAACACTGCTCAGACATCTGAGACTGGAAGAACATGGTTAGTCCCACTCAATATAACTTAAACAAGAGAATAATCGGAATCCAGTCCATGACTTGACAGGATGGATAATTTGTAAACATTGTTTCCAATATCCTGTCTAATGAATTGTTTGTACTCTGGTATTTGAGTACCAAGCCTCCTTATACCCATCTGGTACCAGTTAGCTGGTGTTCCTTTACTCCCAAGTAGCATTACTCTGCAAGACATTACTAATACTTTGGGATCAGGACAGACGGAACTACGTCAGACACTCAGAAGAGTTAGGAAGGATTTTAATGTAAGCTTTATTCACAGACCCTGAGCTCTAGCTAGGTTCATGGATTCTGCCACTGTTCATTACCATTTCCCTTTCTTCTGCTTCAAAGTCTGGGGTGTATATAGTTTGCTGGGTCCTATCTAGCAAACTACACTAGCTTAGTTCTGGTGATTGCAAGGGCAGATGGCTGACATTTCATTCTATTTACAGTAATAATTAGTTTGTACAGGTCCTCAAATTTGTTTGATGGCATCCACTCAAGTTTATTTGTTGTCTTTCACTTCCTATACAGTACTTTGC